TACTATACGTAACTATCATAAACGTAACAATCATAAGCAAATCAATCAAGATCGGAAGATCATGTGACTGCGCCCTCGATTATTGGCGACGCTGGCTTTTTTAATATCATCCTGACTTGTCTTGATTCATTTTTGTCCGATATTATCCCAATAGCTCTATAAATTGGTCAACTAGACGTTTCATGCCATTATCCCGATTTTAGCTGTATGGTTCTAATCCCGAAGTATTACGTCTAAAAATATATACCAATCATGCCGAAATCAATAAATTAATCGAATCAGTCAAAAATCATTTTTATTAGGTGTCCAGAATTTGAAAAGAGCTGTAATTCTTAGTCATATTACCACCCGGGTGGTATTTTATACTAACCAGGTGAACCAACGGGTCACCCGACAGGTGACCTGTCGGGTGACCCGGATGGTGACATTTTTAAGTTGACCCGATTTCCACCCGGATGACTTATTGTCCACCCGACGGGTGACCCGGGTGAAAGTTTTTTAGACGGGTCAAATCACTAGCTGGATTACACCATACTTCTCTTCTAAATTTGCAAATAATATTTTAATTTTCTTTCAGATACGGAAAATATATAATTATTAGATACTTACAATACACCGAGTATCCGTTCTGTCGTTTCCACGCCTTATTATGATGATATTTCTAATATAATTTGGTGTATCCGCTTTATTGAAAATTTTCACAAATTCGTCAATCATAGAAAAAATTGATCTAGGCACTGTACACTTCATATTTTCCCAGGGTTTTTGTTTAAAAATATTTATTATTACATAAATTCGTTTATATTACATTCAATACTAAATATTGTTTACCAAAAAAGTGCGCCTTTGTCTCTGACTTAGATTTTTTATTATATTCATCTCATCACTAAGAACTGTACTTGCAATCAGATCTCTCCAGATAAGTTTGGAAATGTCTATATTTTCATTAATACTTTTTTTTAATAGCCCCGTAAAGATTCTCATCCGCATCAGACATAGGTGAACTGAGTTTCATTTTCAATATTCTAATATTATTTGCAATTTCTTCCTGAGTAAAATCTAGTAATGATTCTTGATTGATGTTTAAAGCTTTTAATGCCTTTAACCCGATAATAGTATTATAGCCACTTTCCATCTATAGCAAATGTAATAAGTTAAATATGTGATCACAATAATTTATAAGTTTTATATAAAAGTTATCTTGGGATTTTGTGATATTTAGTCATTGGATATGCTTTAAATAATATTTATTTTTTTAGCTAAAATGACCACGTACAGTCAAGGAGGAGTAGAAACCCTCGATATCATGAAGTAAGAATCTTGACAATATCGCTCTTCCGGGCTGGCATTCCTCGAACACTAGCTATGGTCAGCTAAAAGAATTGTACATTTGCTGTATTTCATCATTATCATTAATACAATAAATAGTATATAACTTACTTCCATCAAAACATTCACCACTTTTTTTTTCGTTCTCTATTTTCTATTTTTTGCGATACGGAGTGTATTGCACGTTCTGTTAAATTTCTAATAGTATTATATTCTCCCACTTCATCTCCATTCATTGTTAGGTAAAAAATCGATTCACTACAGATAGCTTCTAAAGGGGCTGTTAACGAAAATGATCCAATTTCTGCCACTAGTCTTGCCATGTTTTAAATATATTAAATGTAAAGTAGAGACGCAAAAAATAGCATACAACGATAAAATCGTTATACTGCCCTTTTTATGCGTTTCCACAAATTCTTCGCTAAAACTTGAAATAGGTTATATAGGAAAAGAAGCATGTGTTCTTACCATCAAAAAATTTCTACGTTAGAAATATTTACATGCTGAGAAATTTCTATTTATGTATAAATGCATGCATCGAGCCATATAAGGTTAAAATCGCTAAAAAAAAAAAAAAGACTAAGGCGTGTTAACGTTAAGGCGTTATACGTGCGCATTTAGGCCAGATAAGGTTTCGGCTCAGAGTGAATTCTCTACAAAATGAAGAATTGATTTACAAAAATTAGCCAATTAGAATGAAAGCCCGATATGTCGGGGAAGATCATTATCACGTGACTGTAAAATAGATACTACGCCCTGTCAAATTCAAGATATCTTTAACAGTCATCTAATCAGATCAATAAAATTTTTTTATTTTGGTTCTAAATATAATAGAAAAATATTCATTGAACTTAGTAATGTGGTTATCAAGATGTTTTCGCTCAAAGTTTAGAAAATTTCGTTACAGCTTTATTTTGTTAGACGGTAAAATTTTTTATCTCGATAACTTTCTAAAGAAAATTTTTATTTTAATTCAACTCAATCGTAGAATTCAAATAAAAAATTTTTATTAGACAAAATATCTCGATCATGTTCTAATAAAATTTGATAATTGTTCTATTTAATTATACATATCATAGACTTTAATGAAAAATTCATGAAATTTGGTTATGTGGTTGCCGTGATATCTGCTCAAAGTTTGGAGGCTTTAGTATTTTAATAAAATTTGGATGAAGATATCTCAGCAACACATAACCAAACTCAATAAATTTGTTTATTTAATTCTATAATTATGCAGAATTGAAATAATTAAATACTAGGTGTAACCCGTCGCTTCGCTGCCGGCCTAATTGTTGCAATACAGCCAATTTAAAAACATCACACGAAACTAATGCGAATAAAATAAATAAAAATCATTATCCATAAACCTGAATAGTTTATTTTAATGAATTTTCTCTATACCCAATTTAATGCAAATAAATATAAACTTGTATATATTATTTTAAAATTTGATTACTAAATTTTCATACACACCCAAATTAATGCAAACAAAACAAATTAAATAATAATTATCATTAAACCGAATAGTTTATTTAAAATTAGATTACTAAATTTTATACCTAAATTAATGCAAAGCGAGTAAAATTAAATAATACTTGTACTTAATAGCATATTCTGAATATTAAATTTTCTTATACTCATCTAAATTAACGCAAACCGAATAGAACTAATGCGAGCAGAATAGAATTAAACATTTATAAATTTGAATACCCTATTGTAAATATGAAATAATAAATAAATAACGTATATTAGTAAAGCGATAATGGTAAAGAAATGGAAATGAATGTCAAGAAAAGGATCATTATGAAAATGAAATGACCCCTTATTTTGATTTCAAGGTTGTAAATATACCGCTCTTTATGTGGCCTAAAGACGAATATTAACAATATACTGTGATATGCAGAAGTTGAAAGATGCAAAAAAAGTTATAACTTGCCAGATATGTTGCACAATTTAAAACATTATTTATAGGTAGTCTAAACGTCACCCACGTGAATCTAACGATTTTAATATAATAGATTATTATATAGAATGTTATTGCAAAGAGTCTCGACAACCACATAACCAAAGTTTAATGAAAAATTTTTTATTTGAATTCTGCTGTTATGTAGAATCAAAATAAAAAAATTCTTAAAGGATTATTGATTTCGTGTAACATAATCTCGTGTAACTTACATTTTTTAGGGTTGTACAAAATTTGGTGATACGTACGTACGTAGTACCAGATTAAACTTAACATTTTTTTGGTATATAACTTATAAATTACCTAGGGTTTGGAATTTGATATTTGGGATGAAATTTGGCAGGAATTTGGCCAGAGTTTGAGATTTTGTCCACCTAACAGTAAACAGTATCAGAACCTAGCCGTTTTTGGATAGCAGCGCACCTCTTCTAAGCCAATTAGCACTAAGGTAAATAGCATTAAAAAGAAAAACCGTGTACACGTATTTTTTTTCCAAACGTCTCGAACCAGAATATGAATTCCAAATAAAAGGTTTAATTAAAGATCGATCTGCATTTACGAACGAATAATATCGTTTCTAAAATCATTACACAGATTTTTTATTCTATATTAGGATCAGCAACTATGATTTCCGCGACTTGGAATATCGATATCATATGTACGTGCGTACGTACGTACTCTCATCTTGACAAATGCCGCCACCACCAACACAAGGCCTAATATACGATACAGAGGATATTTCCATAGCGGTATTTACAACTGCTACAAACTACCTTCGTACTCGGCTACCGTCTGAGCTTGCCATACCAAAGGTAGCAATCATATGTGGCTCAGGACTTGGACAATTGGCTGATACTATTGAAAATAAGGTGGAATTTAAATATGAAGACATACCAGGGTTTGTTTCCAGTACAGGTAAAGCACTGGCATTCTTTTGAAAGTTTACCGAATACTTGTTTTTTTTTAACTTTTTTTTTTTTTGTCTTTTAAAGTACAGGGCCATGCAGGCAAACTTGCTTTTGGATTCCTTGGTGATAAAAGAACACCAACGGTTTGCATGGTCGGAAGGTTCCATTTTTATGAAGGGCATACACTTAAACAAGTTACATTACCTATAAGAATTTTTAAGATGTTAGGTGTGGAAA